GCTGGGGACAGTCTCTCTGGGGTCCAGCAGCGGAGCTCGGGGGAAGCTGGGGACAGTGTCTCCTGGGGTCCGGCAGCGGACATGGGGGGAAGCTGGGGACAGTCCCTCCCTTGCCGCGGCCTCACGTCTCTCCCTGCCTCCCGCAGCCTGTAACTGCAACCTGCATGCCCGGCGCTGCCGCTTCAACATGGAGCTGTACAAGCTGTCGGGGCGCAAGAGCGGGGGAGTCTGTCTCAACTGCCGCCACAACACGGCGGGCCGCCACTGCCATTACTGCAAAGAGGGCTACTACCGCGACATGGGCAAGCCCGTCACCCACCGCAAGGCCTGCAAAGGTAGGCAGGGGCGGGGCCTCGCGAACCCGGTCCTCCTGTCCTCTCCTCTGTGCTCCCGCTTTGCCTCGCGTCCCCATGCACGCCGGCCTGGACCGGCACCGCGGCGCCCGCACGGCCGCCCCGGTAGGTGGGGGCGTAAGCCGAAACAAAGGGGCGATGGAGCCCCGGCCTTAAGGAGAAGAAAGGGGAAGGTGTGATCCGTGCGCGGCTGCGGGGCCCCCGCCCCCGGCCGGCTGCTCTCCGCATGCACAGGTGTGCTGCATACCACAGAGCGGGGGTCATGTTCACCGGGCTTACCGGCCGCACAAAGGGCCCTCTCTTACCCAGACCACGCAGACGTCTTTCTCTGGATGTGTGCGCGCCCCCCGCCCCCCCACCCCCGGCACTCACAAAGACGCGCACGGTCACGGTCCCCGTGAGGTCGGCGGCTCTGGGGGCAGGGTCTCAGAAGGGACATTTAATCCACCTGCACATAGCTCTCCTTCTGAGGACAAAAAAAAAAAAAGTAAAGGGAGACCGGAGACTCGTTTCGTTTGCCGGAGCGAGCACGAATGTTTTCACTTTTCCGCTGCTGTTTTTCCCCCGCTCCCCTCACAAAAATGAAGCGATGGTCAGGTGACTCAGAGGAGCTGTTGAAATGCCAGGGAACTCAGTGCTGCCGTGGGGGGGAGACCTGGGGGCCTCCCACCCCACATTTGCTTTTGGGAATTCCAGGAACCGGGGCTGTCCGTGTCTAAACCTTGAGGCCTAGAGGCAGGGCTTGCCGTAAGCATGGCTTCCCAAGAAGAGATTTCTCTCCGAGGGCTCTTGGGGCCACCATCCAGCATGATCGGGGTCCTGACACAGACCCGTGTAGACCCTGACAGGGGCAAGACCCAGGCCTTGTCAGGCTCAGGCTCAGATGAGGAGCTGCAGTCCAGAGACCGGTCGGTGGGCACTGCCTAGCCTTTGGATGAAGCCAGAGTATCTTCTTATCAGGAAATCTGCAAGATGTCGGGCACTCGTGGGTACCACCGCCTACAGGACTCGTGGGCCTCAGTGCAAAATGAAAACACGGGCCTTCTTGCCCAGGAATTGCTAAGAATTTTTAAATGGCAGCAAGCAGAGCTTCCACCAAGCGCATGCCCTTCCGAGCATCGGGCCCATGAAGCCGGCCCTGCTGGTGGAGAATACTTTTCTCCAAAACGAAACAGGTTCCCAGCCTGTCTCCTCCGGGAGGAATCCCTTCGGTGCCACAGGAACAGGGATGAATCGGATGGTTCCCCAGACACAAACAGAGCTGTCCTCCCAGATCTGTGGACTTAAGGCTGCCTCTGGTGGTTGTCAAGAGAAGTTTACTCCTAAAGGTAGCCCGGCGATTTCCACATCCCAAACCAGAGAATCAAGGTGAGACTCCCCTGGGGAGACTTGGAGCAGGAACCGACCAACTGACCTCAAGGTGGCCTGAGCCAAGGGACCCAGAAACGCCTCTGGTGGCAGGAAGGCATGAGCAGGAGCATGACTGGGGAGAGAGAGAGGGCTTTGGGTTTTCAGAGACCGTACTTGGAAGGTATCCAGCCCCTTCTTCGCCTGTTGTCTTCCCTTTACAGAGAAATCAAAGCCAAGGAGTTGCAAACAACGGCTTGCACATAGCTTTCTTGGGGATTTGGCAAGGGAATTTTAATTAGCAGGGGCCACTCAGGTGGGCAGCCCTGTGTCCATGGTTGAGGGGGTCTCGGCTGGGCGTGGAAGGGCAGTGGTCATGCGCCGTCACAGCAGGAAAGGCACGTCCCCTGGAGAGGCAGGAGGGAGCAGAGCCTGGTCATCTTGCCCTTTGCCTCCCCTCCCTCTCCTCTGTTGCATGCAGAATGACGCAAGAGCCACCTGTGGCCTCTCCTGGCTCAGGCTGAGATGTCAGGAAGCCACCGGGTCCTAGGAACCTGCAGGTTGTCCTCTGGGGCTTTCCCACTCTGCTGGTTTCCAGGCGGGATAGGCGCAGGCAGACGAGGGTGTGCCCCTGCCTTCTTACTTCAAACCCTGTGGCTGGCCTTGGTGGCTCTGTCGTCCCTCGGAGCCTTGGACAGCAGCTGCCCCCAGCCTTGGTGGGACCCTGAGGGAAGGGCCCGAGGCAGAGAGAAACGTGAGGACAGATTCTGCGCGGAAGGACGCCTGCGGTGCCCTGCCAGGGAAACATGGCAGGTGGGGGCGGGCCTCGGCGGTACCTCCTGCCTGGCGGGGAAGGACAGTGCTTCAAGGATCCTACCACCTGATTGGCGAGGAAAGACCCTACCTGGCGGGTCCTGCGTCCTGATTGGCGAGGAAAGACCCTACCTGGCGGGTCCTGCGTCCTGATTGGCGAGGAAAGACCCTACCTGGCGGGCCCTGCGTCCTGATTGGCGAGGAAAGACAGTGCCTGAACGATCTGTTCTCTGATTGGTGAGCAAGAGGAACGTGACCTGAAAGGTCCTGCCTTCGGTGCAGAAGGTTCTAGATCTTTCCCCTGTGATCTTTTTTTCTGGTGTCAAACCCCTCGGGGCGAGTGGGAACTCTGAATCCTCTGTTTCCTCATGGGACATTTCCCACCAAATGGAGACCCTGAGATCTTGGGGGCCGGGGGGAGACCACCTGTAGGAGGTCAGACGCCAGCAGAGAGGGCTGTATACCCTTGAGGTCTTCAGATGGGAGTCTCTCTGTCCCCACCCCACCCCCACGGAGTCCGTCCGTTTGCCTTGTCTTCCCAGGGTGGGTCTGTTTCGGGAAACATCTCCTTTGCTGGAAGCATTTGGCCCCAGCATTTTGATCTCTGGTGGGTTGCGCTCAGAGGCTTCTGCAGTCCCCTAGGCATGCAGCCACCCCAGGCCCCGGCCTCCTGGGGCTGACCTTGGGAGAGCCCCATTGTAGCCTTTGGTTATGTCCTTCTTTGCTCTGTTTCAGAGACATTTCACTGGGGAACTGGGACAACTGGCAGAGGATCTTGACTCAAGTTGGCAGTTGACCCGAGGGTGCTTGGGAATGGCCACTGGGGCCCTCTTTACCCTTGACTTCCCAGGGCCTGGGGAGGAGCCCCAGGCAGGGGGCTGAGGCCACCCAGGCCCAGCTGGCGATTGGCTGGGCTCCCGACCTTGCTCAATTTAGAGCAGGGGTGGACCCAGACAAGAACAGCTTGGAGCAAGGGCATCGGATTCCAAACGTTATTGGGGAAGTTTCATAGCAACAAATTCGTTGGGTTCTTTCTCCCCTCCCCTGGTTTAGAACCAACCCGGGGCTGGCCGGGCTGGTGCATACAAAGGGCTGTAATAAACGTGCCCGGGGACGCAGGCGGCTGCAGCCCGCGCCTATTCAGCCCGATTTCCCAGCACTGGGAAGGCCTCATTATGGCGCGGGCTGTTGTCCTATACAAAGTCCGATGAGATGAATCTCTCCCTTTTCTCCGCAGAATGGTTGGTGAGCGATACTCGTCCTGGAATCTGTCAAAAGATAGGCGGTTTTGTTTACCATTTGTCTTCTTTATGGACTCGGGGGCTCTTTTTCTCTTTGGGGCCCGCGAAGAAGATGGTGCTATTTGATCATTCCAGCCATGTCTCTATTTGAACGATATTAATTTATCATCTTCCCAAACCATCTGTGATGGATAAAGACATTCCGGGAGTCTCCCGTGAACCGAATCGCGATGAGAGTTAAGAAATTAACCGCTGCATCCGGCACCCCCACCCCTTCAAGGCCACGGTCAGCATGGCCGAAATGCAGGCCGCCAAGAAGGTGTCCGGGTGCTCGGAAGATGCAGGCGGTGGCCGGCAGAGGCAGGCACTGGTCCTGGCTGTCTTGGCCAGTGCACGCCCGAGGCTCCCAGCCACCCCCTGTTTCTTCCAGCAGCTCTGTCAGAGCTCAGGGAGGAAGTGGACACCTCAGGGCGCCCCCTCGGGCCCCCGAACCACTGTGTGGGGCTCCCCGTGTCTTTCTCCACCTCGATTCTCGACCTTCACTAAAGGGCATCCTCGGTCTATTTCTCTCTAACCGGTTCTCGCCCTTGGCTGCCCTTGGGAATCTCCTGGAGATTTGAAAATCTGACACCCCCAAGAGATTCCGTTTCAATGAATGAGTCCAGATGAGACCCCAGCACTTGGGGAATAAGGAGTGCAGGTGATGAGAAGGGGGGGCGGGGGGGGATTTATTGTCAATGAATTTAAATGTTTTTTTAAGGCTCTCTTGATGGAAATTGGGTGGGACGGGATTGTTTAAAAATTTTTTTCTTTTTAAGGTTTTATTTATTTATTTGGCAGTGAGAAAGGGAACACAAGCAGGGGGAGCGGGAGAGGGAGAAGCAGGCTTCCCGCTGAGCAGAGAGCTGGACATGGGGCTCGATCCCAGGACCTGGGGGGATCATGACCTAAGCCGGAGGCAGACGCTTAACGACTGAGCCACCCAGGCGCCCCTGTTTAAAATTTTTTTTTTTTTTAATTATATTTTGCCGGCTGGGAGCTTAGCTGGTGCATCCTGATGATCTCGTGTCCAGAGGAAGGCATAGGATTGAATGGTTATCACAGCTAGATTGTGTGTGTGTGTGTGTGTGTGTGTGTGTGTGCACGCACATGCTTGCATGCGCGCAAGCTAGATTGGATCATTTGAGGGTTTATTTTTTTTTAATTTTTGAAGTTCCTTTTAATTCCAATGTTATTTTTTTAATTTAAATTCAATTAGCCAACATATAGTACGTCATTAATTTCAGATGTAGAGTTCAGTAATCCATCAGTTGTTTATAAAACCCAGTGCTTGGGGCGCCTGGGTGGCTCAGTCAATTAGGCATCTGCCTTTGGCTCAGGTCATGATCCCAGGGTCCTGGGATCGAGCCCCGCATTGGGCTCCCTGCTCCGTGGGGAGCCTGCTTCTCCTTCTCCCTCTGCTTGCCGCTCCCCGTGCTTGTGCTTGCTCTCTTTCTCTCTGTCAAATAAATAAAACCTTTTTTTTAAAAAAAAAGCCAAACCCAGTGCTCATCACATCACGTGCCCTCCTTAGTGCCCATC